GAAACCTTATATTTCCTCTGGTATCAGTACTTAATGTGTCGTTCCACACATAAAGCTCCGTGGGTGGAAGGCTGCTGGCCTCCCCCGTGTCAGAGGTAATTTCTGAAGGCTCTGCACGGGGTTTAACGGGAGCAATATGGTGAAGTCCATCAACTCTCCCAGAAAGCATCCCCCTGAAGGGCCCTCATAAATGTTCTCAGGGCCGCGAAAGATCCAGCAACTTTCTAACAATAAAGCAATGTTCACGGCCACGATACTCAGCAAAACACAAAGCAGGAAATCACGGCTTCTGCTCCGAATTTCTCCGAAGGGGCTTCAGGCCGTCCTGGGGAAGGACTGTGGGCCAGTGATGACCTGGGACCTGCTGGCCTGCTGCCTCCACAGGAAGATGGTTGGCCTGGACGTCACTTGCATTCGTTTGCGCTAGGCAGTGGCAGCTGTCTGTGGCTGGCAGTCTCATTAACCAAGTTCAGTTGGTTTATGGAGTTTAAGGGAACTCTTAATAATGGATTCATATACCTGTGCGTTTATAGAGCAAGCATATTCTTAAACTCTAAACTGCTTATTATTATTTAAGTCTTCTTTAAGCCATGTCTTTCTATGATGGCATCATTCACTGAGCTTTCTCTGTTCTTTCGGGGTTTTTTTTTTTTTCAGAGCAACGATGACACAGAAACCCTTGAACCAGTGAACATTCCCATCTCAATGGACCCCTTAAGCAATGCTGACTCATACAACCAAGCCACATCGCTGTCCACAATAGGAAAGGTGGCCTTGCTTTTGACACCAAGTTCTAAGGCGTAATAAGGTTTCATTATCAGCATTATTATGATAACTTTCCTTGGTCACGTCCACTGAGCTCCACCTGAGATGCCGTACGGCCCACAGCGTCAGGGATGGTGAAGAGAAAAGAGGGAGAAGCACAGAAAGGGTGAAAGAGGTACAATTTATGACAAATATCAGCTCCTTTCTATTTTTTTCCTAAGATACAATTTGCTTTGATAATATTTTATCTAAATGTCTGGCTCAGTGTTAGCTCTATACTGCCTAACTACAGCCCCATGCAAGTAGACTTTAAGACCAAATAGCGAACATGCCTGCACATCACATGGACACGTGTATCCCAGGACTAATTAGTGTCAAATCAGGGGGAGGTTACATACAGAAATGGTTTCACATACGCACCCTGTTGGACATATTCTCAAGTTTCCCGGAATATTAATGAGAATATATTCCACAATGGGCCAGATATCTTCTTTCCAAATAGCAGTCCTGGTAGGAACATGGTGTTAGATGCTGGTGTTAGACATACCATGGTCCCACTGTAAACAATTACTGTCAAATAATTTTCACCCATAATCTAACCAGCTTATATATTTGTTCAATCTACCCAGAAAATTACATTTTTAGAACATTTTAAATACAGGAAAAAAATGTATGGGATATTTTGGCAGTGCCTCCCAGAACCTGTCAGAACTCAGTGTGGATGTCTATTCTTACAGAACTCCACACTCCACGTCATCTGCATTGCTCACCTGAGGAACCCCGGATCATGCATTATCCACTCATTTACTCCAGAAAGAGAAATGGACTTCTCCAGGAAAGCTGGGATCTGTCAAGATCACAGCCACCTACTCAACTGACTATGGGCTCCTACAAAAATGTCTCCTATGAAAGGAGAGAGAGAGAGTTAGTTTATGCTACCACTACCTGCCCACCTACCATTTCCCCAGGCTTCGCTGGCTTGATTCTGAATTAATGAGCCTGTTACATGATATCTAATAAAAATGACTAGAGTCGAGATCTTGGAATCTGCCACATATTTGGTCCAAGGCTGAATCGATTTCATCTATATTTAACACATGCTTGTTTTCTGTCTCACTTGTCTCCCCCACAGCCCAGGCCTCACTCCTTCTTTTCCCATCTGGAAAACTTATCTCCTAAAATGCTACCATCAATCAACCGAAGACACTCTTCCCGACAGAGCGTCTGCCAGTTTGACAATGCACAAGTAGTCACTAGTTTGGGGATGCCTCCCACACTCTCCAGCGCTGTGTGTTTTTCTAGCCTGCCTAACCACACAAGTGCAATTTGGGATATTTATACTTACCTCCCGTTTCTATTGGGATAACAGCACTACTTTGACAGAACCGGGCAAAAGGCATGGTAAAGCACGCAAAGGGTGGAACAAAGTTGCCCAGGTTGCTTATCTCTTTACCGTTAACCTTATTTCTTCGAATTTTTGCATTTCCACCCATTTTAGTCGACTGCGGCTCAAAGCCTGTTCAGGAAGTATGGAAACCGAGGGCTCACAAGGACCCGTGCTTTGTTCCCCAAAGTCGCCCTGAGAACTGACACTGCTCCCATTTCCCAGCCCGTCCCGTCGGTACCACTCCCAATACGTTCGAGCCTCGAAGCCTAAACTCGGCATGAAAGGAGGGGACAGAACGGAGAGTAAAGTGGGGCCGGCAGCAGGAGCTGAGCACCCCCAGAAGGGAAGGAAAGACGGGGAGCGGGAGACAGGCGGCTCCCTCCCTCTCCACAAGGTTCCAGTCGTGAACACGCCCACTGGCCACAGCAAAAGAGCACTGTGCGTGGGCACAGGTGGGTCCCAGCCCCTCTGGCTGGATGCAGCTTAAGTGCAGAGCCTGAATGAAGACTTTCATTGCTGTTTGCTGTTTTTGTTGGCCACTTGCCACGGCAAACATTTGCAGGTGGCTTGGCCAGATTTTGACACTTAAATATTTGAGGTTGTGATAAAAATCAGAATATTACTACAATATGGTTCTGTGCAGCCTCGAAAAAAAAAACTATCTGCAATTTCAAATGCTCATTTAAAGACATAGTCTCCAGAGGGAACTCATGTTTTAAAGTAAGTACTCATTTCCTCTTTGCTGAGAGAAATAAAAGAGTCAACCATCCCCAAGTGTTACCACCTAGAGTTTCATTCTGAATCCACTGGTGAGATGGGTTGGCTTGATCCGTGCTGAGCCCCCACGATTATCCGGGCAAGGTTTTGGATGGGTCCCGTGGAGAAAATGGAAATGACAGGATGTGGGGGTTGAAATCAACATGGTAAGCACGACAGGGAAGGGTCTGAAGAAAAGAAACAGCCTCCCTCAAGCCTGGCAATGGGACAGAGTCCTGTAAGTGACAATTATCTCCTAGAATGCACCAGGACAGACGCGCACCACCCCGGGACTGGGAATAAATGGGAAAAGGGAGTGGGTTAGGAGGTCACCACAACCAGAGACACACCCCCACCCACCTGGGCCTAGTGACGCAGCCTAGAAACGTCACCCAACCGTACAGCCCTGGGCCTGCTGGGTAAAATTATTGACAGAATCAACACCCATCTTAGAATTCGGTGCTAACCCTTACAAGGCTGTTGCACAAACACCGGCATTGTACTGACAATGGCTGAATACTAAGGGCCTGCAAGAGGGTAGTTGGGGGCCGGTGTGGGGAGAGGCAGGAGAACTCCAGGGGAGAAGGAATGCTGTAAAACTGCTAGTAAACTTGAGCACATTTTATGTTATTTTCCCCTTGAAAGGAAAATAAAATAATTATAATTAGCTGGCCTAACTGCAACTTGTCCGCCCAAAGCCAAGCCACGGGCGTGAAGGAGCCCCTTGCGACGGAGGAGCTGTCCTGGACGCAGCCGCCCCACCCTCTGAGCGCATCACAGGTTCTGGCTTTACGGGACCGCAGCCTTTGCTCCCACAGTCGTTCGAGAAGAAAAGAAACCTTTAACAGAGACACTTACTAATTTAGGGTTGGCTTCTTCGGACAAAGCCGAGCCTTCAAACGGCCGGATTGCTTTTCTGTTTCTCGAATGGGAGGCCGAATGGACCCAGAGCAGCTCACAGAATTGTCATCGCCCTCAGCTCTCCTTTGCTCAGGTGGGTCTTGCCCGGCCCGTCCCGTCCCCACACGCTGAGAAATGGGAGAGGAGGCGCGCGCCCAGAGCACGGGAAGGGGCGGGAAGCCAGCGCCGTCCCCAGGGCTCGCTCTGGGTCTGGGCTTCTCACAAGTGTGGGAAACAAGGGGGGAAAGGCAGACTAACAAATTGTGGCACAGCTTCCAGTGTTTTAAAAATCGCCATACCCAATACTTAACTGAACATTCAGACTAAACTTTGGTGCACGTCCCAAACACAGCAGGCCTCCTTCCCTGTGTTCGACAGAGAGCTCCGGGAACACAGACCAACCGGGTGTCAGCATCCAACAAACATAAATTTATCACAGCTCTTTGGCTTAAGTGGTTATCTTCCCTTCCTAAGAACTTGTGTGCTCATAAATCTTTTATTTCCTCTTCACCCTACTCTTGTGAGGGTGGAAAGAAGAGACATCATCCTCATTCTGGAGATAAGGAAGCTGGGCCGGCGATTCTGCATTTCCAAGAAACTCCTGAGTCATGCCCACGCGGCTGGTTTTCAGACCACACTCTGAGTAGCAAGGTGCTAGAGCTATGGCACAATACTCAGAAGTGAGACCTCTCTCCATCCCATAACACAGAGTGTCTGGGACCATTCTACCAGTTCCACCCACGCCTCAGTATTATCTGCTTTACAGAAAAGAGGGAGAGGGCCTGCGTCCTTTGACTTGTCTGCTCCAAGAATGAGCATGGACCAATACAGAGATGCGGGAGAAGCTGCCTTCCACCGTCCTCAAGTATTTGTCTTGAGAACCATGCTGCGGTCTCCATAACACCCATGGAGTTTCCTGCAGTCATCTTATGATTCACGGCTCTTCTTTCAAGAGACAATGACACAGGATGACTTGCTATTCCCCCAAAGTCAGAGTCAAACAGCATCTACCAAACAGAGGCTCCCTCTCCCTTCTCCCATCGAAAACATCACACCAGCCTGATTAATAACACACCGGCCAAGGAAGCCAACTTCTGTCTCCTCCAGTCCAAGCGCTACAAACAAGAAGAAAATCCAGAACGTTCTCTGAGCTCCAGTCAGGCCCCAGGGGCAGCTGAGGAGGTCTCCTTACCCGATCTGGCGGTTGGTGGAAGGTGCTTGTGTGATGACAGAGCTGGACTGGGGTGACGGCATGGCTTGCTGAATCACAACGCTGGTGTCATGGTTGGGCATCCGGGTGCTGCCGAGCTGGTGACCTCCAGGCCCTGCCATGGCCCCGCCAACTGCATTATGCATCGAGATGCTCTGCCCAGAGAAGACAGAGGAGAAAGGTCAGGGGGAGAAAATCAAGGTCGTATCCTACCCTCAAGCTCTCAAAGGCCAAAGCTGGGAATCTAGTCATGTCAACTAAATAGAGAGTTATGGCTTCTGGCAAGCCATAGGACTGTTCATCTTGCTGTAACTTACAACTACGAGAAGATGAAAAATAACTACTCACCCTAAGAGGAAAGCACATAAGAAAATACCCTGAACTTCACTAATCACTCTGCCGCCATCCTGGTGTGCGGTTTACATCAGGGACGCTTAGCGACTCGATGTGATATATGTAGCATTTGAAAATGATTTCTGCGGTATGTGCATAGTTCTGTGATTTAGTGAAGAGCCATTCAGCATGTTGCTTTGAATGACAAAGCACACTGGGTTATTTTTTTCTTTTTCAGTCCTATAAGACAGGCCAACCACTAATTCCCCGCCCCAGCTGCCCGCCCCCAGGAAACTACAACTTTTCCAAATCGTAATCTGTATGCTCATGACCCACGCCCAGCGACCTGGGGAGGAAGGATGATTGGAATAGATAAGGGGGGTCTGAGATCCAATGACATAAGAGCAAGAGTTGCAGCTTCTGCTGTATTTGCATAAAGTCAATCCATAATAATTTCATGAAATCATGGAATACACAGTAACGACTGATTGTTTGCTTGTCCATTGTCTTTTCCTCTAGAACGTAGAATGTTTGTGCCCACGGTGCCATCTCACGGTGCCGGAGCACGGTAAGCACTCAGTAAACAATGGATTGCATAAACAAACTAGTAAAGGGAAAACAGGAGACTCCTAAGTCACTTCAGGGACCTAGTACTTATTTCTCATGACTCAAGTGAAGCTTTCTTTGTTTAAAATTCGAAAGTAAGGTAAAATACGCAAGACAAATATGGCTTAAAAGGTAATTCTTTCCAGAAAAGGAAGTATTCACATTGAGGCTGAGGAGGGCTGATCGACATGGTGGGGCAGAAATGTGAAAAACTCAGAAGCTGGAAAAGACAGAGGAAATGCAGGGCACAGCAGAGGAAGCACGTGGCCCCTGCGAACCACCAGGCAGAGGGCGGCAGCCTAGGGGAGCAGAGAAACTCCAGAGGTCAGCTGGACCTGGGGTTGAGGATGGCAGGAAAGAAATGAAGTGTCACTAGTAACATTCACTGGAGGGAAAAAATATATATCTGTATGTACTTTGGGGTTAGCAAGGAGAAAAGTAAATGTTACCCAGGAGAACTAGAAGTGGTTCTTTGAAGTTCTTCTGTAAAGAGCAGGATTTCCTGCTCTACGTGTTAAATGATGGTGATAACATGCACGGTACTTGGGCTGGTTGTGTCCATCACATTGCACCTTTGCCAGGTTTCTGCTTTCCAGCTCCTGACCACACAGTTTGTCAGGAGTCCAGATGGCAACTGGGCACCTGGCTCAGACTGTGAGCCGCCTGTGTCGTCGTGGGTTCCCAAAGGCATGGGCAGCCTTATACACACACTCAAGGTCCAAAAGCTCCTCTCATGTACTGGAAGGCTTTTCTGATGTGGGAAAATATTGTGGTTGGTTAAAGTAAGATGAAAGGAAGTGGTGATTTGTGTGGGGCTGGCGGTGCAGGGACATGGTTCAGGTCTCGTATTATAGGATCTAGAGATATAGAGAATGGAACTAAAAATACTAAAAATAAAAATAATTGTGTTATTTCCTTTGAAAGCGAACCTTAGCTCATTTACTACCCTGGGTCTTAACGAGGTCTTGATGAAGTGAACAATTGCAAGGATTATCTTTTTCCATTGTTTGGGTCCTCAGTGATACTTGCTCAGTCACCTACTTTGTTATAATGGTCCCTGCTTCTCTTTTTAGAATTATTTCTGTTGTACGGTGCTCCCAAGGGTTATCAATAAAGCTGCATGATTTAATTTTTTAAGTAATAGTCCTTAAATTCACAAACAAGACTATAAAACCTACGACCTTTGACATCTCTTTTCTGTCACCCCACACGCAGTCCACAAATACTACAAACTCACCGTAAGCACCCTTTGTCTCTGTCGGTCTTTCCGTTTATCCTTCCACTGACCTACACCCAACCGGTGCCATCTCCTTCCCTGGACCAGACAGTGGTCTCCTAGCTGGCCTCCCGTCACTCACTCTTGCTTCCCTTCTCCCTCTTTGCCGTTCTATAATCACAGTGATCTTCTCAAAGGGCAAACGCATCAAGTCTCTATAACTCCCCTTACATCCCCAAACCCCAGCTTTTTAAATGGCTTCCCGTGGTTTAGAAGACACTGACAGCACTCTTTGTATGACCTTCAAAGGCTGTATGGGACCGTTCCACCTTCCCAGCTCATCTCACACCACTGTCACGCTTGCTTCCTGTGATTTAGCCCACCCTCCCGGAATTGTCCGGCCTTCAAACTGCCCGAGCTCCATTTCAGCACCGAGCCCCGGGAGGGGCTCCCTTCCGTTGCCTGTGCTCTTCCCCGACTTCACATACCAGAGAAGCATCTCAGGAGGAAGCGTTCCCTGCCCTCTCCAATGATAGGCACCACCCCCCTCTCCTTGCGTAAGTTTCACAGCTTTACAATTGTTTCGGATCATTTCACTAATATCTGTTTCTTCCTCTAGACCATAAGAACAATGAGAGAAGGGGCTAAATCTCATTCTCCTCCCCACTGTGTCTCTGTTGCCTTGGTCAGGGCCTGGCATATAGTTGGTGTCCGATAAATAGTGAGTGAATGAGTAAAACATAAAGTAACATTCCTAGAACATGCAAAATGATGAAATGCTACCTTTTATGCACTGTGTAATTTTTTAGAGTGCTAACTTCTTGTCTATTTACCTCAAAATCTCAAAGTATGTGCACAATAATACAGTTTGAGATGTTAAGGTCCTTGTTTGATTACAGGCTAGAGAAATAGCCTATTTTCAGGAATAAGAAGATCAGGATTAAGAAGAAAGCCACCAACACAGCACACAGACAGTAAACTTTTCACAAAATACTAAATGAGCCTTCGGAGTAACATACCAATAGGTGAGCTTCAAGTCTGAGCACTTTGGCTCACATGAGGGCAATAACCATCCCTTACCTCCACCATGAAAACCAAGAAAAGCTGGTTTGTGCTGCAGTGCAAATAAGCTGGTTTCATTTCCTCAGAGTAAAGCATGTTAAATGCTAGAAAGAAGTACGTCTTCTTCCCAATAGCAGTTTGAGAATCTTCCCTGAGAATCATTAAACAGAAACAAAAAAGACTCCCTAGGAAAATACCTAGCCCCCTCCCCCACGAACACCATCTCTTTGTGTCTGTGATCTCCACCGGACACAGAAAAGGCTCCTGAAAGTTATATTCCAGGTCTTCCATGAGCTCCTTTCTCCACCACGTGAAATCTGCAACTCTCCAGCCTCCTTCCCCACATCCAGAGGGTAATTTCAAAACATTGTGGGAAAATAAACAATTAGGCAAGCGTTATCATTTCATATTAAGAAGAGATGATTGTTTTTCTTTAAGCATTATGTAGTAACTCAAACATGAAATTATTTTCTGAGTTCACATTTTCCCAATTACGGGTACAAACCCTGTCTTCGCTGATAAAAGCACGGCATTTTACCTTTGGATAAATTAAATTTCCCATTTCAAAAACACAAAGGATGATTCTATCTGTCCGATTTATTCCTCTGGTATAGGTGTGGAGATTTGCAGCCAGTGAAACCATGTCACAAACCAGCGGAGGGATGTCGACACGCCCGGAAGGATCGGGGTGTTCCTCAAAGTTCAGCCTTTGGCCTCTTCTTGTTCGACATGTTTATCAACAGCTTGGATGAAGATGTAAAACTCGTGTTTGTTGACTCTGCAGTTGACACGTGTTGGGAGGCATAGCTAATGTTCTGGATGGTAGACTCAGGTTTTCCTTGGGCCAACTGCGTGAGCTGGCCTCCAAGAATGCTAACATAAATCTAGGTTGCCGTAAGGGAAGTGCGATGTCCAGATCAAGGGAAGTAATTATTCCCCTGTAGAGCACGGGGAGCTGACCACATTTGGTGACCACATTTTGAGGGGGAAACTGACAAATAGGAGGGAATGAAAGCCATGAAGGCATCCGAAATGCATTACAGGAGGAATGCTAGGAGAACTGGGGAATATTTAGTCTGAAGAAGAGAAGACTTAGAGGGTCATGCTAACTGCCTTTAAATGTTTGCATGATTAAATGTACTATCTGTTGCTCCAGCAGCCATAACTTCAAAAAATGGGATCATGATGATAAAAGCCAGTAATAACTACAATGTGAGTTCCTATTTTGAAGCAGCCACTATGATAGATGCTTTAAAAACCACACTTCTTACAATGACCTTACAAAGTAGGCATCATTATCCTCATTTTAAGATGAAAAAAAAAAAAGAGTAGACTCCACACCATGACTAATGCCATGCTGTTCACCTCTGGCTGCCCTCCCTGCTTCCAGATTGATACTTTAAAAGTATAAATTTGAACTTTTGTTGGGATAAATTTACCATATATATAGCGATGTCCAAAGACAAAACAAGCTGCCTTGTAAAGTACTGAGCCTCTGGCATCAAAGCTAAGCCAGTAGAGACTAGTGGCCTAGCCTGTCAAGGATGTCACCAAGAAGATTCTTGTATCAGAAGGGAGGTGGCACTCTTTCATTGCTAAGATTCTCTCATTTATGATACCTGGTTTATACTGTGGCTCAAATCCTTCTGAATGATTAGTAATATGTGATCATGTTGAAAATATACTGGCTTAGGCCTTCGGAGGTCTCTTCTAGTCCTGCCGCTCTACCCCTCCTGCAGCCATGGAACCCAGATAAGTCATTCAACCTCCCTGGGCTCCGTAGCCTCCCTGATAAAAACAGGGGGTTGGCCCACATGGTCTCCGTGATCTCTTCCAGCTCTCCCACCCCATAAGTCTCTTTCTATATTACATTTTATGAAACACCACATATCCAAACAGACTTTTTAGACACTGATTCATGAGCCTAGATACATTGAT